CCTTTTTTTCCTGTTGTTTTGCATGCCAACAAAATAAAAATTCTTTGAAAGGTCTTGTAAACTCTGAAAACCCATCCAAAAAAATGGACGACTTTGGAGGTAACCCTGTCAAATCGTAGTTTTCGGGGCAAATGCTAATAAGTTTTGGCACATTCGTAATTGAAAGACCTTTCAAAGTAGGGAACTCCATGTGAATTTTGATACTCTCGTTCTGATGAGTTATATTGTCTTCATGTTGGCTTCTTCCAAATACATATTTCAAGAAAGGAGCCCCTTTGATGTCCAAAGACTCCAAGTATGCAGGGCATGTGAAAGCGTATGCTGGGAATAAATATTCCAATGCATTGCAGTCATAAACTCTTAACCGATTCAACTTTGGAAAGATGGAATCATAGTTCATGTGAGTTCCAGCATCTAACTCATCTTCTACAATGCACTTCAGTTTATGACAGTTCCATATTGTCAAATCTTCCAACAAAATTGTAGAGGCAATGGATACAGTTGACAATGATATTAAGTCCCAACATCTCCATAGATCTATTTTCCTAACATTCTTCAATGACTGCACCAACAAGATTTGAGATGCATGGAAAGGAGGAGCTCTATCTGTAGATGAATTTAATTCCTACAAACACAAATCTTTAAAAAGTTATATCTATCATCAACAGAATAAATCACTCTTATTTTAAAATAAACAATATGCAAGATTGGAATATATAATAATACATAATAAATCAAAGATATTTTTAACATAACAACAGTTAGTTTAACAGATCATTCTCATTCCAAAACAAACAATCAGTGAAGATTTATTGAAAAAAACCAATCAGTAAAATTTAAGTATGTAAATTCTTTATGTAGTCATATCGTATACAACAAATAACATCAGAGCAAATAAAAACTTAATTCAACTCTTTATAAACTCCCTTACGCCCCATTCCATTTGATTATTTGTTAATAAAAAATTATGTAAAATGTTTATAATGGAAAAAAAAATCTTTTCAATTTAAAATGATTATTGCCTTTGTGTGTGTTATTGTCCGACATATGGATAAAGATCGGAATCTGTAAAAGATTTGCAATTTGACTGAAATGTTTTATTTAATATTAACTTGGTCCATATAATTTCATTAAATAAATAATTGAATTATCCACATACCTAAGTATAGGAGTGGTTAAAAAAAGAACACATCACATTAGCTGAAATTGTATTGATGTCAATAAGGCACTCAAAGCTTGAGACATATTTTATGGAGCTAAATGGCGTAATTTTACGTGTTAATTTGAATAATCCATTCATAACCTTTTTTTCATTCAAAGTCTTTATTGGTAACCATATATTAATATCACCCTTGTTAGGCAACAATTAATTCAATATTTGTAAATAAGCAATTAATCTAAAAGCTGAATTGAGCTGGGAAAAAAAAAAGCTCAACATATAAAGACAGTCATAATAATTTCATTTTGATCAAATAATACTCCCTTTGTAATTAACATTGTCAAAACAGCACAAATCATATGTACAGAAGTTAAAGAGAGTGTACCTCTGAAGCCGTCAAATTCACCATGTCATAATCATCCAAAGATTTAATGCTACAAATGCTTTTGAACTTTCGCGCATCTCGGATGGAGAGGGTCGCCAAAGCAGGGAGATCGAAATGCAGCTCTTCATTTTGCTGATCTTGCTGGTGGTTTCCAACAACATATTGTAGTTCAGGAACATTCCAAATAGTCAAAGACTTCAATTTTTGAAGACCACCAGATGTTGCTGATTGAGAGAAAAATTCCAACTCCTCGCAATCCCAAATTTCCAGATTCTCTAGTGTTGGAAAAATAGAACAATAATTCTTATTATCAACTTGAGCATCTCCCTCATATGTTGCGATGCACTTCAGTTTATGGCATTCACTGATTGTCAGACTTTCCAACGAAATTGTTGAGGCCGCAATGGAGAGAGTTGACAGTGATATTAAGTTCTCACATTCCTGAAGTTTTATTTCCCTTAAATTCTTCAATGATTGCACCAAAAGGCTTCGAGCTACAAGGAAAGGAGGAACTCCTTCTGTTGACGCATCTAATTCCTACATGCACAAATCAATGCATAATAAATCAAGAAAATAAATCATTCTTATTCCAAAATAAACAATACGTAAAATTTGAATATACAATAATATTTCAAAATATATTTAATATAACAACAATGAGTAAAATATATCATTCTTATACGTAAACAAAATATAAGTAAAATTTTTATATGCAGTAATGTACAGCAAATTAAATAATATCAAAGCATAACAATAAATCAAAATGATTATGTTTTTTTATTTCTATTTCCAAATATTTTAGAGATAAACTAATTGAACCCTTTATGAGTTCTATTAGCCCATTGCAACACCTCACTTTTATATATATTAATAGGATTATTTTAACGTCTGTGAATCACTAACGCCAGGTTTCCGTCCTGGGAAAAGACAGGGAATTTTTTTTTTCTTGAACATTAGAATCCGTTGATCAAATATTTCAAAGCTTCAGATAACTGATGAGTGATCCAATTTCAACCCTGCTTTCAACTTAATTTATTATCATCTAAAATAATTTCATACTATACAATCTTATAATATTATATTAAAAATAAAGCAACGCTCTTGGTTGACAGCATATACGTGCACCTGGCAATGCTCACCTCCTTCTTCTAAAGGATACAAAATAATATTTCCATAAAGCAAGTAAAGTTACTTGCCCGAATATTTTACTATACAATTTACAGAATTATAACAGGTATCTCTGCTCTTCAATCAACCCACCTTCTTCTTAAATAACCTCCTTGTCCTTCTAGCTACTAGCCTTCACTGTTCATCATAAATTGGGGGGTGAGATTCCGAAGAATCCCCGTAGTAGTAATTTCCATCAAACAAATGTGCAGATCACATAAAACATGCAAAACAAGCTATATGGAACAAAACCTTGCAAGCTAATGCAATTAAGCATTTATGCGCAATGACAGATAGACAAGCTGAATAAATAATGCGCAAATAATAGGCAATCACTGCCGCGCATATAATTGGCAATCACTGCCCCATGTCGGTTAGACAAGCTGAATAAGTAAGCGCAAATAATTGGCAATCACTGCCCCATGTCTATCAGCTACACGTGATCACGGCTAAATAATCCATGCAAGGAATTAAGGATTACATGTTCTCATGCTTTTTGAATAGCAATATGGCACAAACAGACATGCAGCAATCATACACAAGTGTAAGGGAGGAAAGAACTACTACCTGGTCAGCTTCCCTCCAAACCAAACCTTACCATTCTCCTTTCTTTCTGCTTCTTGGTGGGCTTGAGCAGATATATAAACCTATCATATTGGTAAGGGTAGATTAACACTTGATCCAACATAAGTTAAAAATTAACTAACCTTCTTTAAATTCCAAATTTCTGTAAATTCTATCCTTACATAATAATTGGTCGTCTTGGACAATTTTTCTTCTTCAATATATTCACTGTGGAAGGTTTCTCTCTTTATCAACCTAAAGAGTTACTTTACTTAATAACTAGTCAAAATATTATCTTCTTGTCTATTACATTTAAGGACAAACAAGGCGTCTTTCATACCTCAATCATCCAAGCCCAATAAAGTGAAATTAATTAAAATCCATCTTTACTGATTTTTGCACCCATGGCCGAGACACAAAATATATATATATATATATCTATATCATCGCACCAATTGATTTTATCTCAATTCCAATTATCTATTGACCATCTTAAACTTTGGTCTAGTATTCCTCCAACAACCGTTCCAACAACTTCTATCAATTACCAATTTTAACCCCTACCTTAGCCATTAATTGTACCATTGAGAATTTTCCAAATACATAACTTTAAATAATTTTCATACATCATGACTATCAATCAATCCATTTACAATTTCCATCCACCATGTGGAAATCTCAAACAAACCTCAACAATAAAATTTCAAATCAATTCCTAGCTTAATTTCTTTAATCCTCAAAACAGCCACCAAATTAAATTCTAAGTTCAATCATTTAATATCTAAAACTTCCCATTATATTCATTATACAACTATACTCTTAACTCTCTCCTAACACCTTTTACAATACTCTCAAAATGCCTTTAAACCAGAACTTTGAAATCTTATATCAAACTAGCTTCAATTGAAATACCAATACTTCATCTATTCACTTCCCAATCACTCTTAATCTTTTCTTCAAGTTCTAGTTATAGATAGGCCTTAATAACATTCTCAACAACTTTATTAACACCCAAATTCCTAGCTATCATTTAACTCCCAAAAATGCTCAATTACTTTCTCAATCTGGAGCTACCAGATTTCTATATATCTCCAATCAACACACACACACGCGCGCGCGCGTAACAAACATATATAAATATATCAATTATGTTTTAATCACTCCTTCCATTAACCCCACAGCCTAACCTCCTCGTGAAAAACAATTTCAGATTCAACATTCTCCATCCCCAACTTCCACGGTCAGCACACACACAACAATCAAATTCATTCTTAATCTCTTTACAACTTAAACACCTAAAACCATTATTACACCAAACAATTCAAGCCTATCATCCTATTTTGATTCTCCTCTACTCTTTCCCATAAGCATCTTACACAACTTAACAAATCTGGAAATTTTTTCCAGATTAACATACTTCCAATTAAATTCACATTATCCTAAACCCAATATCTAGCACATATATAGAACAGGGTAATCAACCCCTAACGTCTAATTAAATTAACGTTTCAGATTCAAATGCCAAGCACCCCACGGCACATGCATATATCTATATATATAAGAAACATCCTTCTCTTTAAAATTCTATACATCAAACCTGCATTTAATCCTTATTTCAATGTTTGTCCGTCCCATTTTCTTTTAAGGAGGTTAGACAATTCAGCTCCAAAATTCCTATAGCCGCAACAAACATATGCATGTGTACATTTATATATCATTTTCCAATCATCCCATGGAACCCGAGTGACCCATAAGGCTAGCAACAAAGTCCCTGTTTCAAGCAACAAAAACAGAGTAACTGTAAATGCACTTGAACAATCAAAATCTTATAGTTCAATCTCAAAATCCCGAAGCTTTGAATCAAAGAGCTAATCTTCCCCTGTTTTCGACGAACAAAACAGAGCAAAGCAGCGCATGCAACCAGTCACACATGCAAACCACTTCACGCTTATACCTCTCATTTCTTACCTTCCTATAACTGAACCCGACACGCACGCACAAAGCTTCGAAACATAGCATACACATGCAACTTCAGGATCCAACGGCAACAGCAAGAAGGAAGACATGCAAGCTTAAAAACTAACTTCATACACTTCAGTCTTGCCATAGCACATAAACTCACCGAACCTCCTATCCTTTCCATCACTTTCTCTCACTACCCTTCTGTCTCTCTCTCCCCAAGCACGCCATAACCACGGAGCAAACCCAGTAAAGAAGAGTGGAAGAATGATTAGGAAGCTCACCTTGACCGATCAATCGGTTTGCATGTATGGTTAGGGTCTCCGATCACTTCGCCGGCCACTCACTCTCTCCTCCGTCTTCCTCTCACTTTCTCTCTTCTTTCTCTGCTTGATCGATATAGAGTGAAGAAAGGAAGAAGCTGCCGCCAGGTTAATGAAATGGGGAGAGCAGAAATGACCATTACACCCTTCAATAAACTTTTGTTTTCACTTTCATCCTTTCTATGTTTTTCTGAACTTAGAGAATAAACACAGAAATTATTCCACCATGTTTTATATGGATTTTCCTTATCCATTAGCTTCTTTGTCCCATGAAATAATGTCCATAAAAAGTTCGGGTCAAAAATAATCTCCTGCCTATTTTTCTTGAATTGTGGAAGAAAATAGCCCTTAAATCCAGAAATTAATCCTTAACCCATTTTAAGGATTTTATGCCTCAAATAAATTCTCTACATCATAAGATAATTTCCCTAAAATTTTCTAGTTAATTAGAAACCTCTAAGTATTTTTCCATAATTTTCAGAGAAAATAAACCATTTTTCTCTTAAAATTATCTATTAAAATTATTTAAGCCATTTTTGGGAAATACCTTTTCCAAAATGTCTCTAAACCCTAAAAATCATTATTCCATAATTTTCCCCCTTTATTTGGCAAATAAATAATTTTAATAAATTTTTTCTCTTTTCTACTCATCTTAAATCATAAAATTCGGGGTGTTACACCCATTCCATTTAAAACTTTGCTAATTAAAATTTAAGTAAGATGACTAAAATATAATAACACTTTTCAATTTAAAATGTTTAATTTATTGCCTTTTGTAGTATTCAAATTCAATTGTCCAACGTAAGAACAAACATTGGAATTTGTAAAACATTTGCAATTTGGTCCATATGTTTTATTTAATATTAATTTGATCCATGCATATTTCAGTGAGTTGATGACATCTCCTGATTGACAAATCTTCCAACAAAATAGTTGATGCAGTGGATAAAGTTGACGCTAATGTAAACTCTCGCGAACAATACAAAAGTTTCATTTTTATAATATTTTTTAATGACTGAATCAAGAGGCTTTGGGCGGCAAGAAATAATAGAGCTCTATTTATGGATGGATGTAATTGCTACAGGCCAATAAATAAATAAAATCTGTGCGATAATATAAGAGGTCTCTGATTTTCGTCAACCTTAATTCACTTTTTCCTCATGTTAATCATTTTTTCCAACCTAATTTATCTAACTTATAAATCCATACGTATCTACTGTTATACAAGAATATTTTATGAAGACCAGATCATATTTATTGGAATTATGCTATTTATTTAGCTTCTTTAATCTACTTAAATTAGTTAGTTAAGTAACTGTTACTAAAATGATTGAAGGAGTAGTATATTAACTAGATTAATTTGAAATAAAATTTAGTTTGATTTTTCATTTTAAAAATTGTACTCTAAACCATCATAATCACGCGTCTTCATCATAAATATATCACTATACATCAATCCAACAAAAAGGTGAGTATTTTGAAAGTTGAGTTTATTTCAAAAATAAATTTACAAGACCTCTCACAATGGTCTATTCAATCTTTGTTTTCAAGAAAAATAATCTAGCCTCTCGAATTATTTTGTCCCACTTTAATATATACTGTCTCGACAAGCAGTTAATCTAAAAGCATAACAGAGTTACTTGACCGCAAAAAAACAAAAGGAGCTTAACATATAAAGACCTTCATAAATAATTTCGTTTTTTTTTCCATCACAAAAATAATTTCATTTTAATCAAATACGCCACTTCTAGTTAACATGATCAAAACATAACAAACCTTATGTTCAAAGTTAAAAAGAATGTACCTCTGTAGTTGTCCAATCCACCATGTCATTATCAGTGAAAGATTTAATGCCGCAATTCCACATCCGAACATTCTTAAGAGATGACAGCGCCAATTTATAATTTTTGGAACAAACGCTGTTCATCTTTGGTGCATCATCGATGGAGAGGATCTCCAAAGCAGGAAGATCAAAATGCAACTCATTATTTTGATTCTGAGCGGATGAATTTTGGTTCCCAACAACATATATTAGTTTAGGCACTTCCGCTGTAGTCAAAGACTTCAATTTTTGAAGACCACCGGATATTGCTGATTGAAATAAAAATTCCAATTCCCTGCAATCCTCAATTTCCAGATTCTCCAGTGTTGGGAAAATGGAACAGTAATTATTATTATCAACTTGAGCATCTCCCTCATGCGTTGTGATGCACTTCAGTTTATGACATTCACTGATTGTCAAACTTTCCAACGCAATTGTTGAGGCTGCAATGGATAGTGTTGACAGTGATATTAAGTTCCCACATTCCCATAGTTCTATTTCCCTTGCATTCTTCAATGATTGCACCAAAAGGCTTTGAGCTACGTGGGATGGAAAAACTCCACATACGGATGGATCTAATTCCTATAAACACAAATCTCTGGAAAGTTATATTTATAGCCAAGAAAATAAATCAATCTTATTCCAAAACAAACAATGTATAAAATTTAAATATACATTAGTACATAATAAATAAAAATATTTTAAACAAGACATCAATCGCTAAAATAAATCATTCTTATTCCAAAAGCAAACAATCAATAAAATTTAAAGATGCAATAATTTTTATGCAGTGATATACAACAAATAATATCAAAGCGTAACCATGGATCAAAATAATAATATCCTTTCATTTTTTTCAAGTATATTTTTTATGCAAAACTAGTCGAACGCTTTATTAGTTCTATTACCGCATTCGATATATCTTATACTCTGTTGACAAAATTTTGATTACAATGATTCAAATACAATAAAATTTTTAATTTAAAATGTTCATTGCCCGTGTGGTATTCAAATTCAACTGTCCAAACAAACATTGGAATCCGTAAAATATTTGCGATAAATCATTCTTATTCCAAAGTAAACAATATGTAAAATTTGAATATAGTACATACATAGTAAATCAAATTAAAATATTTTTAACATAAAAATAATTAATAAAATAAGCCATTCTTATTACAAAACAAATAATCGGTAAAGTAATTGCAATTTGATCCATATTTCTTAACTAATATTAATTTGGTCCAAACAGTTTCACTGAATAGATAATTAAATTATCCTCAGATATAAGTCAAATAATTAAACATAAATGACCTCAAAATGTTAAATAAATTGAACGCGGCGTTATAATTAATATTAGTATGAGAAGCAGTAGTTAACGAAAGAACACAGTCCATTTACGATATGAGCTAGGTGGGAAGGAAAAACTCCACATGTGGATGGATCTAATCCCTGTAAACACAAATCTTTAGGGAGTTATCGCCAAGAAAATAAATCAATCTTATTCCAAAACAAACAATATATAAAATTTAGATATACATTAATACATGATAAATAAAAATATTTTAAACAAAACATCAATCGGTAAAATAAATCATTCGTATTCCAAGATTAAACAATCAATAAAATTTAAAGATGCAGTAATTTTTATGCAGTAATACACAACGAATAATATCAAAGCGTGGCTATGAATCAAAATAATAACATCCTTTCATTTTTTTTTCAAATATTTTTTTATGCAAAACTAGAGGAATGCTTTATAAATTCTGTGACCGCATTCAGTACATTTTATAATGTGTTAATAAAATTTTGAGTAAAATGATCCCAATACAATAAAACTTTTTAATTTAAAATGTTTATTGCTTGTGTGGTATTCAAATTCATCTGTCTAAGACACATTGGAATCTGTAAAATATTTGCAATAAATCGTTCTTATTCCAAAATAAATAATCAGTAAAGTATTTGCAATTTGATCTATATGTCTTAACTAATATTAATTGGCTCCATGCAGTGTCATTGCATAAATAGTTAAATTATCCTCATATATTTGGTACTCGAATCTTGAAAGATATTCCATTTAACATTTTGAAATCGTTGAGATCAAATTAATGGTAATTAAAACATCAACAAATTAATTGAAACTTTGAGAACTAAAAGTTCTATTGTTTTTTCAAATAAATAGGGAGCCAAATAACGTTTTTCTGAAAATAATTGTTATTTTGTTCGAAGTCATTTTTGGTAACAAATGTTAATATCACCCCTAAAAGGTTAGTACTTCACACTACTTTTGAATGATATGTCATAACAAGGATCACAATAGATATTCGATTTTAACACTCAGGCCTTATTCTATTTCATTGTAAGGCAAGAGACAGTTGAACAAAAATAGTGAGGCAAGTGTAGCATACCAGTGGGATTGTGTGGTCATGCGGTTTTTGTTCAGAAACGGTAATTTTGGCATCTTCACTGGCGGGCCTCGATTTATTGAGAGAACAACATGCTTGAACCCAAGAGAAAGCACGTCTGGCAGGACTTTGATTTGTGTTGTTGGAATTGTGTCTTGAATGCGGAGGTGATGGCTTTTGCATTGATGAACCCATGAGTTGGTGATATTCTTTGCACATTCCAATGAAACTTGGTGCTCCAGAAAGTTCCAGCTCTTTCAGTGAGGGAAGCATGGCATCTTCCCCTTCTTGGAACTTATCAAATATGTATTCCAGCCGCCAACACCAACATATACTTAACGTTTCCAGAGATGCAAGACCTCCAGCGAATAGGATTGGCAATATTATCCTTAATTTGCTGCACCGTTCAATTTGGAGTATTTTCAATTTTGGGAACAATGCTTCCTGGTAGCTCTTTTGATTACTGTCACCATCTTCCCTCACTATGATGCATTCCAATGCACTACAGTCCCTAATTGTTAATTTTTCCAATTTCATCAGACTTTGTGCAGTGGATGGTTGGAAAACTGACGCCAACATTGGACAATCTTCCAATTCCATGGACTTAAGATGACACAAGTTGTAGTTGCCATTAGAAAATAAGCTCTTCAGTCTATGACACTCCTTCAACTTCATAATCTCTAATTGCTCCAAGAAGCCAGATGGTGGAGGACCCCGAAATAAATCTTCAACACCTACTTTAGAGAGCTGCAGTCCAACCAGATTACAGAAAGCAGCCACACCAAAATAATCATGATCGTTAGTATCTATGAGGCACTCCATGGTAGGACATGAGCTCAAATCAAGAACAATCAAATCATTCATCATGCCTCCCTTGTCTATTGCAACAATATCAAGGATAAGATTTTTGCATATTCTTTGTGCATCCTCTCCTTCCAAGATAAGAAGTTCAGCTCTTCTGACAAGTTGTTTAAATGTTGCCTCTGAGACTAAATGACTTAATTGATCATCTATTTGAATGCATCTTGACATGGAACCATAATACTTCTCAAAATGATTTGAAAAGTCCTTAGATGATATACGATATCTATGTAATGTAAGAGGAGATTCTTTATGAGATATTGCATCTTTTTCTTCATTCTCACACTCATTACCAACAAAAGTTAACTCTTCTAACTGAGTGCATCTTTCAATCACTTCAAAAGGATTGTTCTTCTTGATTTTACATCCTTCAACCTCTAATGATCTCAACTTCTTGAGTTCCCAAAATTCTCTTGGTAATTCAATGATTGAACAATTCATAAACCAAAGAGTATTGAGACTTAACAAGTTTCCTAAGGCAGAGATGTCACCTAAATCCAAATCCCTAAGAATGAGTGTTCGAATGTCCTTCAATGGTTGGAGTGAATTTATCAACAATAGAGCTGAAGTTCTTATGCAAAAATTATTACGTAAAACCAAAACTTTGAGCCTCATCATCTCTTTGGATAATGTATCCAAGACATTCAACGTCTTTAAACCATTGAAAAATATTACTAGAACCTCCAATTTATTTCCATCAAACTTAGTAGGAAAATCATTATTATTCCAGAACAGCAAATATCTCAAATTCTCTTTTATAGGCATTTTCAAATCTATGAAAGACTGAATATCTTTGACTCCAATCCGCAAAGCTACTTCACGAACCAAATCATGCATCTTTACATATTCATCTTCCCCATGCAACAATAAAGAGCAATCTATGAGTTCCATTATAGCTCCATGCACTTCAGTTCTTGCTAAATGGTATATGTCATTTTCCCCAGAAGAACTCAACCCTGTACCAATTTTGGTTAAAACTTGTATAGGAACTTGGTAATCTTCTGGGAACAAAGAACATATAAGAAAGAGCTCTTTGGCTTTTTCATTTTTCAAGTTGTCGTAGCTTAACTTGAAGCAATTATAAGCCTCTTTCAATTCCTGATCAACAACATGATCTTCCAAGGTTTTCAAAGCATCCTTCCAAACTGTTGCTGGTTGATTTTTTAATGCTCTAGCTACTCCTACAATTGCAACTGGTATTCCTCCACAATGCTCCACAATTTTTTCTGGCATACCCTTCAAACCACGAGAGGAATTATTTAATTTGGCATGTGCTTCAAAAAGGTTCAATGCCTCTTTGTTGTTTAACATGCATAGTTCAATCACTCGGCATCCCATTTCTATACAAACCTGTGAACTACGTGTGGTTATCAATAAATTACAGCCCTTGTGGCCAGATGGAATCCCCAAATTTTCTATCAAATCAAACTTTTCCCATACATCATCTAGTATTATAAGCAATTTTTTGTCCATTTTTGTGATTTTGGAAAATATTGTACTTGAGAGTTCTTCTTCCTTCACTTCCTCTAAACTCAAATCTAAACCTTTTGCAAGTTCACCACAAATCTTTTTGAAATCAGGAGGCTTGGAGACAATAAGAAATATGAACTTGTCAATTGATTTAGATTCTTTTAGTTTGTAACCCACTTCTTTTGCCATTGAAGTTTTGCCTGCTCCACCGATCCCTTGTAATCCAATTGTATTGCTATTATCATCCTGTAATGCTTCCAAAAGATCTTGGAACTTTAACTCTCTACTCTCGAAATGAATGTAATCTTGTGGAGAAAGGTGTCTTATGTCTGATACATTTGCTCGACCAGCTACTATATTGGAATTACATCTTCCCAATAATTCTTGAATATGCTGAGTCTTCTCTGCTAACTCCTTTCCTCTTCGATATTGCCACTAGCAATTAGGACACCAACCAAAAAAGAATTTCTTCTTTATTTTAGTATCTATATTGATGATGTCATCTGCTTCATGTTCCCATTGCTGTGCTTCATACTTAAAACTAAAAACACCTCTCCCTTTCTGAAACTTTCTCTTCACATCCTGGTGCTTTGCAGCTAGTATTTTCTTTCTTCGATCAAATTCTTTAACATAACTATTGAAACAACATAAATGTTTAGCTTCATTTTTTACAAGATTCACCAAACTCTGGACTTCATTCTTTGCAGGGTCAAGCAAGCAGCTCTCCATCTAACATGGATACAAGCTAATTATAGTCCGTCTATGACTATGATACTAATTGGGATTTCAATCATCAAATCAATACCCCATCCCCCCAAATAATTAAATCAGAAAGATGCTGCTCTGATGACTTAATATCTTAAAAAATGAAAATTAAAAGTGTTGAAAAGTTGTGAATTAATTTGCGTCACAGTATGATCTTCATGAAAAGGAAAACATACAAACGAAAAATGTCATGAAAGCAAATGGCTCAAAGTGCTCTGTCATTAACAATTTGGGACCCTTTATCTTAAATTGCAAAAATGATATTGAAATATCAATTTTAAAATCAACTAAAATTTCTAAAATTTACTGTCCTTAACAATAATTTATACGAGCATTTTTTTTATTTCAAGACGCATGTTTATGAGCAAAGTAATTCATTCACCAGCATTTAAGAAATAACGAAGCCATTATTAGGACCCTTGTTAGTTAAGGCAAATTGATGATGACCAAGCATATACTGACCACTTTTTCAGATGTATGAACAATGTTTGATGATGCAAGCTTTGCTGGATTCACCAAAAACAAGATAAGCACCCAAAAAAAAAAAGAAGAGTCCTGCCAATTTAACATAATTCAGAATACCATATGTGATTTAATTAGTTCCAAACTGTTAACGTTAATGCATATATTGACCCAGAAAAAAGGTATATATAAGTGACAAAATTACAAATCATCATCAAAAAATTAAAAACATAAATATTAAATATAAATAACACAAGAAAATGGGGGAACACAATATTAAAAAGAAGCTGAATAGTTAGAATATTTACTTTTTCTTGTTTTTTTTTTTTTTGGGGTTGCGGAACTGGGTTATGCAGCCCAAACAAGAAACTAACACAGCTAATTAAATAATTTTTTTAACTTTTTAAAAATTTTCAAATTAGTTAACTAAATGTTATATTAAAAACTGAAGATAGTATTGTCATTGTACGTCAAATGTATGTGACGCTTGTAACAACGATGACTCTTTGATGATTTTAGGACTTTGAGCAATAACTTTTTATTGCTATAAAATTCAATTTTTTTAGTGACATGACTAAGAAAATTCTATGAAATTGAATCAAATGTGGGGTTGCCAAGCCAGCTTCAAAGTACTACTCCGGTCCTAAATATAAGACTTATTTTGTAGTGTAAATTACATTACAAAATGAGTCTAATATTTAGGACTAGAGGAAGTAGTTCTTATGAGTAAAATGAGTCATTGATGCTTGGAGATGTTAGTAGGGTCGTCAGAGCTAGATATTAATTTAAAAATTTAAAACCCCATGAAATTAGAAGCTTAAAATTACTTTTAATATTCTAAAATATATATACATTGAAATATTTTTATGTTTTTGATATTCATCCCTAGGCTTGGGTAAAACTTCAACCAGCAAAGAAGTGATTATGGTTTTGCTCACAAGTGGAGAAATTCTATTGGAGTGCTCTAATGCTTCTATCCTAATTGATAAACAAAAATATGATTTAGATTTCTTAAAAAAATCTAAAACATATAAAATTTTAAAAAAATATATGTTGTTTCTTTAGTAATTACGTGATAGACTTTACCGTTATATTAACTTACAAATATTTAAAACTATATAGACCATAAATATCAATATTTTTATAACGCGCACTACATGTGTACACAAACTAAATTTTCCCGGTCTAACGCTGTCATGCCTGGCAAATGTGTAACCGAATTTCTAGTGTCATGGATTATTTGTGTTAGTATATCATCTTTTTTATCTCAAAAAAGCATTTACTAAAAAATTGGAAATGAAATTTTCAAACAAGGTTTTCTTTAACTTTATTGAATTGTCTTAATAGTATTATGTGTATGTTACACATAACAGAACGAACAAAATTAAGATGATCATATATCCTAACCCTTCTTTTTTTCTGTTTTCTTTTGGCAGAAGAAAGCAATTGATGAACTCAAAAATGAGAATATATAGAGTTATGCACCCACAAATTAACAAGTTTCAGAATATTGTATTACTTTTTTTTCCGGTTAGGTACTTCTTTTTTTAAAAAAAAATTGGACCACGCAATACCATATATGTGTGTATAAGGAAAATAGTAATAAAAACATATAAACACAATATAAAAATAACAGAAAGAAACCCAATCAAATAAAAATGCATCCTTACCTTTTTTTTTTTTTTTTAAAGATTTCAGTGTCCGACCAGGAGAAAATAAAAGAGATTCTCAAACCAGAACACAAGAATGCAAATCCTGTCAACAAGAAATATGTGAAAGCTTTAGTTACGAGAGAAATAATATTAATAAAAAATGTGCAATAAGCATGAGATTAAAGTGATCACCAATTATTTCATTCACGTAATCACAAGCAACATACATTTCTTTTTTTTTAATGGTGTTTTTTTAATAATGGGCAAAGAATTTGCATTTCGCAAGTCTCTCTTTTCAGAAACTTTCAATTATTTATAAATGAAAATATTTGAATTATAATATAAATACCAATAGGCCAAAAGATTATAAATATCAATGTGCAAAAATCATAATGTACATTTACCATTTCTTTTAGATCATTTTAATAGCAATAAAGAGAATACTGAATGGCATACAAATTTCAATAGGAACTAAAAAGAAGGAAAATATGACCTTTTGGCTTTTGACCATGCAAAACTATTATTATTAAGAAATTATCTAAGAATTGATGAAGAGAAAAATAAAAACATAGGAGTAGCAAAACGACAAAATACTACTGATTTTACAAATCTTAGAATGCCATATATATATAATTTATATAAAAAATCTGAAAAGTTACCAAATCACCATTAAAGAGCTCAATGAAACCGTAAATCAATAAACTAATAGAAATGAAACATACAAATAAAAGAAAACACATACACTGTTACTTTTTTTTTTTTTTTTTGCTCTGGGGATTTCAACCCACAGAGAAGTCTCCTTTTTGTTTTTCGTTTTTTGTTTTTTGTTTTTTTTGTTTTGCCTGGAATGTTAAAGAAGACGATTATTAAAGAGAAATGAAAGAGATTTGGATAATAAGATGATAATGCAAGTACATATATAGTTAAGCAGAAGTATAAACTTCTACAGCAAGAGATGAATGGTTACAATATAATATCCCCAACTAGATTTAATTACAATATCAATCTCCTTATTACTATTACTATTACTATTACTATTACTATTATTATTATTAGAGTAAAATGCTCTTACCAACCTTCTATTTTGTCTTAGTTATTATTAAAGTCCAAATGCCTCACTTTGTTAAAAATATTTTTTATTTAAAGAGGCAAAGGTGCAAATGTAGCCATAAACTCACACCCAATGTGCACCAAAGTACTATATACTTCAAGAAGAAAAAGAAGATGGTCTTATGAAACACAAAACATCGGAATAAGAAAAAATCACTACAAGTACTAATAGTTTCCATGGTCTTTTATGAGGTTTTCTATACTTCTTCATCCTTGGCTTTTCTTCTTTCTTGCTTTATTATCACTTTGTTATAGACACTCCAAAACAACACAGTACAATAGCATAGAGGTCATAATTCAAATGCTAACTAGAGCAAGGGCTAGCCCCCTTAAAGGGCCAAGAGTCTAAAAGAGTCGGCCTTTTAAAACCTGCATATCTTAAAATTATCTTATTATGAAGGTCAAACTCTTAGGCATGTGGGCTGAGGGCTTAAAAAGGCTAGGCCTTTAGTCTATGACACTCCTTCAACTTCATAATATCTAATTGCTCCAAAAAGCCAGATGGTAGAGGACCCTGACATAAATCTTCAACACCTACTTTAGAGAGATGTATTCCGACCAGATTAGAAAAAGCAGCGACACCAGAATAATCATGATCTTTAGTTTCTATGGAGCACTCCATGGTAGGACATGAGCTCAAATCAAGAACAATCAAATCATTCATCATGCCTCCCTTGCCTATTGCAACAATATCAAGGATAAGATTTTTGCATATTCTTTGTGCATCCTCTCCTTCCAAGACAAGAAGTTCAGCTCTTCTGACAAGTTGCTTAAATGTTGCCTCTGAGACTAAATGATTTAATTGATCATCTATTCAAATGCATCTTGACATGTAACCATACTTCTCAAAATGATTTGACAAGTCCTCAGATGATATACTTTATCTATGTAATGTAAGAGGAGATCTATTTTGAGAAATTGCTTCATTGTCACACCTATTGGCAACAAAAGTTAACTCTTCTAACTGTGAGCATCTCTCAATCACTTCAAAAGGATTATTCTTTTCAATTTTGCATCCTTTTTAACTCCAACAATCTCAACTTGTTTAGTTTCAAAAATTTGCTGGGTAATTTATTGATTGAACAATTATAAAACCAAATAGTCCTTAGACTCAACAAGTTTCCTATGAAAACAGAGATATCACCTAAATCCAAATTCTTAAGAATGAATGCTGGAATGTCCTTCAATGGTTGGAGTGAATTCATTAATGATAGAGGTGGAGTTCTTTTGAAATACTTATTAAATAAAACCAAAACTTTGAGCCTCATCATTTCCTTAAAGAATATATCCAAGACATTCAACTCCTTTGAGCCATTTAAAAATATTACTAGAACCTCCAATTCATTTCCATCAAATTCATCAGGAAAATCAACAATATTCCAAAACAGCAAATATCTCAAATTCTCTTTTATAGGCATTTTCAAATCTCTTGAGATTGAATATCTCTGTCTCCTATCAATAAAACCACTTCACAAACCAAATCATGCATCTTTACACATTCATCCTTACCATGCAACAATGAAGAGGAATCTATGAGTTCCGTTATAGCTCCATGCACTTTACTTCTTTTTAAATGATAGTTGTCATTTTCTTTGAAAAGCCCTAATCCTAAACAGATTTTCATTAAGAGTTCTATAGGAATTTCACAATACTTGGGGGACAAAGAAGATATCAAAAGGAGCTCTTTGGCCCTTTGATTTTCCAAGTTATCATAGCTTAGCTTGAGGCATTTATAAGCCTCTTTCAAATTTTGATCAACACCATGGTCTTCCAAGGTTTTCAAAGCATCCTTCCAAACTGAGGTAGGCTGATTTTTCAACACTCTTGCTATTGCTACAATTCCAACTAATACTCCTCCACAATGCTTCACAATTTTTTGTGGCATGCCCTTCAAACCATAAGAGGAACTATTACTAGCAGCATGTGTTTCAAAAAGACTCAATGCCTCTTCATCCATCACCTTCTGTAGTTCAATCGTTTGGCATCCCATTTCTGTGCAAACTCGTAAATTACGACTAGTTATCAATAACTTATAGCCCTTGTATTGATGTTTAGATGGAATCCCCAAGTTTCTTATCAAATCAAACTTTTCCCACACATCATCTAGTATTATAAGCAGCTTTTCATCCATTTTAATGATTCTGGACCATATTATATTTGAGAGTTCTTCTTCATTCACTTCCTCTAACTTCAAATCTAAACCTTTTGCAAGTTCATCATGAGTCTTTTTAAAATCAGGAGGCTTGGAGACAATGAGAAAGATGAATTTGTCAATCGAGTTAGATTCTTTTAGTTTATGAGCCACTTCTTTTGCAATTGAAGTTTTGCCTGCTCCCCCTATCCCTTGCAATCCAATCATATTGCAATTATCATCCTGTAATGCCTTCAATAGATCTTGGAACTTTGACTCTCTGCTCTCAAAATGAAGAAAATCTTGTCAAGAAAGGTGTTTTACGTCTGGTATATTTGCTCGATCAGCTACTATATTGGAGTTACATCTTCCCAATAGATCTTCAATATGTTGAGTTTTCTTTGCTAACTCCTTGCCTCTTCGGTACTGCCACCAGCAATTAGGACACCGGCCAACAAAAAATCTCTTCTTTATTTGACTGTCGATATGGATGAACCCCTTGCTGCGCTTCAGACTTAAAACTGAAAACTCCTTTGTCTTTTTGAAACTTTCTCTTCACATCCTGATGCTTTACTGCTAGTATTTTCTTTTTTTGATCAAAGTTTTCAACATGACTGTTGAAACAACATAAATATTTAGCTCCATTTTTTACTAGATTCACCGGACTTTTTTTTTTTGGAGGGGCAAGACAAAGTCTTGAAATTACATCAAAGTGAACATTAGAGTCCTAACTCTACATCAAATCTAAGGTCAGGAGTGGAACACAGCCCATTGGTGGTTGCTGCCAGATCGTGAATTCTTCCTCCAGATGATGAGCCGTCTTTGCGAGGTAGTCAGCGCATTTCATTGACTCTCTCGAAGCGTGATGAATCTCGACTTCCCAATCTGAATAGATCATGCTTCTAATTGAGTTGATTTCTGATCCCAGGGAGTTATGGTTGCCACGGTCATTCATGATGAGACAAATTGCCTCTAGCGAGTCAGAGTATACTTTAATCTTGGGGATATTATATTGTCTGCATACCTCTAGTCCTGTCAGTATCGCCCACATCTCCGCGGCCGTCGATGGAAGGTGATCAAGTTTCCTTTGGAAGCCTCTAATCCAATGGCCTTGTGAGTCTCTAAGCAAGCCTCCACACGCAGCTTGACCTCCAGTGGTGACAGATCCATCTACATCCAGTCTAACATACTCTTCCTCAGGTGGCTCCCATGTCACATTCGTTTGAATCAGACTCTTGAAGATCTGATGTTTGTATCTCCCGCTTTCTGAGGATTCCATCATATGATATAAAGAGGCATGGATGATACTTGCTACTTGAATTCTAGTTCCATTCATGACTCCGCTACATCTATTCTTCCAGAGTAACCAGCATAGGTAGCAAAAAACTCTCCTCCATGGCCATCTGTTGAAACCATCCTTTGCCAGTTCGTTGCTGAAGTTAAATTTTATCCACACCTGCAAATCAGAGCAAAAGAAATCTAGGAGAAAGTTAGCTTTAATAACTTTGACCCACACATTTCGGGCCATCTCACAATCACGCAGGATATGTAAAACACTCTCTTCTTTTTGACACTCGAAAGGGCATTCCTCACTAATCTCTATTCCTCTGCGAGCTCTGAGGGAATTTGTCGGGAGTCTCTCATGAATAGCTTGCCAGAAGAAGAATCTGACCTTTTCCGGAATCTGAAGTTTCCAAACCTTCTTCCAATGGCCAGTGGTAGTTAGCTCCTGCTGCAGGATTTTATAAGCTGATTTGATGGTGAAACTTCCATCATTGCTTCCTTTCCAAATGAATCTGTCTCCTTCCACATCCATCGGGACCTTGATTCCCTTAATGATGTTAACAATCCATGGAGGCAAAAATCTCTCCCATTCCTGTATCTTCCAATGTCCACTTTCCGTCACAAAAGAGCGTACCATGGCTGTAGGTTCTAACAAGTGTACGTTTTTATCTACATAATGAATTAAAGGTTCCTCTAGTGGAGTCCAAGCGTCCCACCAAAAATAGGTAGTTGCACCATTCTTTATCTGTCTACCTATCTTTTTCTGGAACCTATCCCAAACAGTTGTAATACTTCTCCAAACAACAGAGGAATTGCTTTTTTTACTGATTAAGGGATAGATGTCCCTCCCACAGTCATATTTGGCTTTCAGGCACTGAACCCATAATGCTTCGGGTTTAGTAAGTATTCCCCAACAGAGTTTCATGATGAAGGCAATGTTCTGGCTAACCAGATCTTTAATGCCTAAGCCTCCATTGTCCTTACCTTGTTTTATTGTTTCCCATGAGATCAAATGCATTTTCTTGCCCGTTGTCTGTTGATTCCAAAGGAAGTTCCTGCTGCTCTTTTCTAACTCCTGTAGTATCCCTCTAGGAATTAACATGGTTTGCATCAGGTGACTTGGCAAGGCTGAGAGAACTGACTTAATTAAGATCGTTCTGCCCGCCATTGTTAGCAATCTGCCTTTCCAACCAGCCAACTTTTGTTGTGTTCTTTGTATCAAGGGGAGAAAGGCTGCCTTGGACACCCTCTTATGAAATAGAGGGACTCCCAAGTATTTGCCAAGATCAGCTGTCATGCCAACTCCTAGGTGTTGACATAGTCCCATAGCTCTGTTAAAGCCTACTCCTTTGGAGAAAAAAGCCTTCGACTTTGCTAAATTTATCCTGTGACCTAAAACTGCACAAAAATGAGTCATCAAATTTCTCATCACCTCAATCTGCTCAAGAGTTGCTTCCCCAAAGAGGAGCAAATCATCTGCAAAGAAAAGGTGAGAGATAATTGGCCCTGTTTGTTTAAACTTTATGCCCTTCCATCTGCCAGCCACCACTTCTCTGTTAATTTTTTGTGCAAGTCTCTCCATACATAAGATGAAGAGATAGGGGCTTAAAGGGTCTCCTTGCCTAAGTCCACGCGTTGGTTGGAAGGGATTTGAAGCTTCCCCATTCCATAATACTTGCATGGAGGCTGAGGTAGTACATGCCATAATCAAGGCAATCATCTCCTCCTTGAGTCCGATATATTTCAAAGTAGATTTTAGAAAATCCCAATCCAATCGATCGTAAGCTTTTTCCATATCTACCTTGATTGCCACCCATCCTTTCCTCCCTTTCTTTGACCTCATAGAGTGAATGATTTCTTGTGCTATGATGACATTGTCACAACTTTGTCTTCCTGCAATAAAACTGCATTGTTCCTGTCTTACCAGATAATTCATGGCACCCTTCAGCCTGTTAGCCACAATTTTGGTAACTATTTTCAGAATGACATTGCATAAGGAGATAGGTCGGAAGTCTCTTAATTTCTCTGGTATGTCAATCTTTGGAATGAGGGCTATATGAGTGTGATTAACCTGCTTCACCCTCTGTGGGTTCTGCCAGATCTCCTTCACAAATTCACAAACTTTCCTTCCAATGATATCCCACTGAGATTGGAAGAAATGTGGTTGTAGTCCATCAGGTCCCAGGGCTTTAAATGCTCCCATCATAAAAGCCGCATTTTTTATCTCAACATCATTCAGTTCTTCATGAATCAGATTGGCATCACGTTGCGTCAGAGCTGGGAAATCTGAATCCCATTCTGGGATATTACTTGCTCCGACCTCTTTAGTATATAATTCCTTGAAAAAGAGTTTTGCCATGTTCTTTAACTGGTTTTGGTCGAAGACCCATCTGCCTGTATGATCTTGTAAAGCCTCCACTCGTTTCTTCCTTTTCTTTATGATTGCAGAAGCATGAAAGAAAGTAGTATTTCTGTCTCCCCACTGAAGCCATTTACATCTTGACTTTTGCAACCAAATCAGCTCCTCCTGCATAGACAATTTGAAGTACTCCTGCCATAGTTTTTTCTCCAACTTAAAGAGCCTGTTGGATAGCTTGTTTTTTCTTGCCTTGTCAATTCCTTCCAACCTTCTTAGAACCTTCTGCTTCTTCCTTGGGATATTGCCAACCACATTTTTATTCCAGCAGCTTGCTTCCTGTGTAAAAGTAGCAACTCCATTACACCAGTCTGTATTGTTCCAAGATTTAGCAACTACATCCGTAAACCCTTCTTCCATGGCCCAGGCCGCATTGTATTTAAAAGGACGTGTTGTCAATCTTGAAATTGGAGCCCCAGTGCCAGTATTAATGACAAGTATCCTATGGTCAGATTTAAATTTTAAACCATGTGTAACCTTGCTCTATGAGAAGTTCAGTTCCCATTCAAGGTTACCAAAAGCCCAATCTAACCTTTCTTTCACTCCCTTCTTTTCCCAAGTAAAACGTTCTCCAACAATAGGTATCTCCATAAGTCCCGTATCTGAAACACAATCAGCAAAGTTACGCATAGCTTGATAATTAGGAGGGGATCCGCCAAGTTTATCCTGGGGTTTTAGGAAGGTGTTGAAGTCCCCTACAACTAACCAAGCCCTCTCTAAGTGTCCTGCAATTGTTCTCAGAGAATGCCAGAGATTCATTCTTTTTGCTCTAGAAGTTTCCCCATAAACAAAAGAGGTAAGGTACTTTTCACCATTTCTCAAGTCACAAATTTCGCAGTGTAATAATTGCGTACTAGAACAGATGTAATTTACTTGCATTTCATGATCATTCCACAGGACCCAAATCCCCCCTGTGTACCCAGACGCTTCCACACCCAGCCAATTACTAAACCCACACCGTCTTACCACTTCATCAGCTCTACACCCACTAACTCTTGTTTCCAAGAGGCACAGGACGTTTATATCATACCTCCTCACCACTTCTTGTACAGTTGCTGGAAACATCTTATTTCCAGCCCCTCTGCAATTCCACGAAGCAACAATCATTAGTATAAATAAAATTCACAAGGCAGAACCACTTACTCAACGTTAAGGTCCCCCTCTTCCCAGGTCGGCCTCTGTTCATTTGACTGCCATACTGAGCTTCCATGGTTAGCTTCCTCTATTAAAATCAAAGCAGTGTCGTCTCTACCCAACCTGTTTTCTCCTGGATCCCCAAGAAATTATTCATCTTGTTGAGGAGTCAGGGCTTGTAAGCCTACTGTTCTTGGGACCTCAATGTTTAATTTTGGCATTAGTTGAGTAGATAGGTTCGGTTGATGGGAGTCCCTTAGCACCAAGTCCTGCGTTGCTCTCTCAGAAAATTTGTTTCCCTGTTGACCTATTCTGTTCTGTTCCTCTAACACTATATTCGTGGCTGAGTTCAGAATACTCGAACCCATTTCATGGATATTACCTTGCACTATGGTGTGTTGCCTTTGACCCATAATAGCCTTACTAGCCTTCACCTTATTTCCTAGGCCCACCTTCTCAATTGGTATTTGGGCCTTACCTTTTTTAGAGGCCCCATTAGGAATTTCATTTTCTTTTCCTCCTACCCGATTTGACTTACTTCTTGATCCTCCTCTTTTTTTCTTTTCCTGCATACCCCACCACGTCTTGAGTGCTCTTTTCCAACCTATTTTCCTTCTCCATCTGACCTTTTTGGACTAGATTGTCTTCTCTCTGCCACCATTCGGCTTCTCCTCTCTCTACAATCTTATTATCTTCTGACAGAACCATCTCATCTTCCTGTAAACCTTCTAGTACAGTGAACTGAATCTGAGAGTTTTCTCCCCTGTGCCCTCTGACATTCCTCGAGCCACTCCCAATATTTCTTTTAGTTTCTTTAACCATATTATTTTTTTGTGTACGGAATCTGCCTCGTCGATTGACTATCATCCAGCTCCCAAACTCTTCCTCCGCGGCTATTTTCAAATTCGCCGTCGATGAGTCCTGATCTGGTTGCTCTCTATTTTTTTCCTGCTGCAACCTTGAAGTCGATGCTGCATCTGATTTCGTCTCATTTGAGTTCCTTGGGTCCAGCTGCTGCGGATTCCTGAGCGTCCATGAACAAGTTTCCTTGCGATGACCGTATCGACCGCACACAAAGCAAATAAGATAGAGACCTTCATACTCCACATTGTAAATAGAGTTTGCTGCAATTACTCTCGGCACCAGTTTCTTTTGGAGATCTAACTCCACGCACACTCTCGCGAACCTACCCCTCTCAACATTGGAGAATCTGGTTGAGTTTTCCGTCAGCGTCTTTAAGTCTACTTTGAGAGTTTTCCCAACGCACACTCTCGTGCTGACAGATTCACCGGACTTTGAACTTCATTATTTGCTATGCCACGTAGGCAGCCTCCATCTAACATGGATTCAAACTAATTATAGTCGGTCTGTGTGACTATCATATTACGGGGGTTTCAGTTGTCAAATCAGTGTATCCCTAGTAATCAAATCATACAGATGCTGTCCAGTGACTTAAGATCTTTAAAAATGCAAAGTAAAAGTGCTGAACAGCTGTAAACTTGTTTGCAATACACTATAATACTATTTTGTTTTTATTTTCCAAGCCATGCGTCTGGTCGCTATTATGGCTATTAAAAATGGCCATTCATCCATCAAATCAATGCCAAACATCCTTTTTAATTTCAAGACATATGTCTATGAGCAAAGTAATTCAATCTCCAGCGTTTAACGTATAACAAAGACTTTAGGAACCTTGTTTGTTAAGGCAGATTGATCCTATTTGAGCTAGCTGTTGTATATCATAGTAAACACTAAATTAGCCATTCGCAAATAGTTCCAATACCATCGATCTCAGCTTTGCCCTCCATATGGCTACTGATGGAAACTTCTACTAGTGGAGATTTTTAAAGAATCATTCGGCGATGGGAATTTTGAAAATCAATTATCTTATTTTTCATCTCCGATTTGCGAATCTTTCATCCGCAGATTTTTCCTTCGGTCAAAAATCTTGATCAAGTCCAATAGGCTTTATGTTCTTTTATGACCTTTCGCTATGGGAGGTAATTATCAAAAAAAATCTTCACTACTCTTTTTAGCTACTGACTACATTTGTTTTTAAAATTCCGATAACCATTCTTATTTAGCTAATGATTGCTCTGATATTGTGATTGGCTGTTTTTATTTTTAAAAATTTGGTAACTACTTTCATTTAGTTATTGACTACTTTAGTTTTGCTATTGACTATTTTTGTTTCAAAAATTCAAAAAAGGCATTAAGTATTATTAGAAATCTAGCGACTACTTTTTGTTTAGTTATTTATTATTCTTGTGTAGTCAATAGCTATACAAAAACAGTCATTGGAACTTTGAAAACAAAAGTAGTTAATAGTAAAAATAGAGTAGTCAATGTAAAAGTAGTCACTGGGAGTTAGAGCAATGGCAAGGGGTCTTATTTGGGATTTTAAAATTTACTCACCCTAATTTGTCTTTTAGCATTTTTGAAGGCATTTTAGTGATGTCTTTTTCCCATTTAAGATTTAGATTGCATGAACAAAAGTGTTATGAAAGCAAATGGCTCATTAGTCCTATCATTAAAACCACTTTGTCTTAACTTGGGAAAATGATAATATCATTTTAAAATCAACAGTGATTTTTAAAATTTGCAACCGTAGTTAGTTATATATTCATGCAAGGTCCTCAAGTCGTTTTCCCATTATAAAAAGATCATGTTATTTGAATTATATTTTGTAGTTGCTGGATTTTCCTATTCATATTAAATTGGACTGCATTTACTTTTAGCTGCAACAATGGTGATAAATGACATATTCTTGATACAATTGTTTTAATATTTTAAAGATTTTAAATTTTTCTAGTTTTAAAGATGTTATTGTCCAAAACTGTCCGTATGGTAATTATTAAATAAGTTATTCATTCATCAAATTAGTACAAGCATCCTTACAGCCGCTGTAGGTCAGCCGTTCATGATTTAGTGGTCTAATTGTCAAAACCGACGACATAACAGTTAAATGAAAGTTTTATAAAAATAATTATATGTATATATAATAATATATATATATATAAATAAATATATAATAAATTTAATTATCAACTTAATAACATTACATATATATATAAAGTTTGCATTGCTAGAAATTGTATGGAAATATGTTGAATTTTTTAGGCTAAATTATACAAAAACTGCACAAGCTATAGGGCAGCTGCAAATAATCTCCTTGACATTTTAAAGTTTAAATTTAACCCTCCTGATCTTTTATTATTTTATTATGGATAACTTACTGTTAACTTACCATTATCTTTTTAACGGAATTTGTCATGATAGATAAACATAAGACACCTCGCAATCTTATGTGGTATCTTACATGGCATCCTATCTAATATAATCATTTTATAAATAATTATATCATTTTTATATAAGGATTGAAATGTCATTTTATTATTTAAAAAAATCTCACTCAATTTTATTGTTATATTTTTTAATCACACAAAAATTGATATTTTAATTAATAAACGATTGTCAAATTGTTAATAAATTTATTAAGATTGTAAAATAAGATCATAATATTGTAAAAATATTACAGTGAAAGTAATGAGTTGGTTTTGATAAGCATTAACTAGGGAAAAAACGGTAAAAGATAAAGGGAGTTGAATTTAAACTTTGAGATGTGAGGGAGGTTATATGCAATGATCCCAAAGTTCAGGAACTTTTGTATAATTTAGCCAATTGTTCATATGGTGAATTTTTTCTATTTTTTATAGGTTTTTAAATTTAATTTTTTCAGCATATTTTCTAATAGACCAAAAAAAACTGTCCAATTTTTTAAAAAATCGTTTCAGTTCTCGATCTAACTTCAGGTTTCAGCTTAATTATTGCTAGCTCAATCCTGGTCTAATCTGGCTCAACCACCAAAATGATTTTCTAATCCAAGCCAAGCCATTACCGAGTTTGATCACTAATCCAACCAGTAGACTGGTTGGTCTCGTCCAATTCTTTAGTCAGTACTTTAAAGAATCATTCATCAATGAGAAGTCCTGGAGTTAATGAGAATCATTATCATGACCTTCACTTTTTTAATCATCTGTGATTTGCCAAATAGCCTTTCTTCAGCAGATTTTTCCTTCTTTCAAAAATCTTGATCAAGTCCAAGAAGCTTCACGTCCTTTCGTGACATTTTGCCATGGGAGGTAATTATCACATCTTACTTAATTATTTACTTCTACCTCTATATACATATCTCAAATATACTTAGCCTTATCCAATTAAGCTTCCAACATAATTCCCAAAAGAAAATGGTACTTAAGACTTGTCACAATATGTATTCCAGGCAATAGACAAATTAACAATAACCGTATATGTAAAAACAAAACCATGACGAAGTATGATATTATATACTGACCTCTTTTTCAGATGTATTAGAAGACCAAAGTATTTGATGAAAAGCAGAATAAAACGAAGAATCCACCGAAAACAAGTCCTGCAAATTAAAAATATTTCACAATACCATGTTTAATTTAATCAGTTCCAAACTCTCAAAGTTCTGGTATATGACTGAGAATGTTAGAAGTCATCATCAAAAAGTTAAAAACATAAGCATCACAAGAAAATTGGGGAAATGCAATATTTTTGGGTTTAAAGAAACTGACACAGCTATTTCAAATTCAAAGCAGATTAGAGAGAATAATGAAGAGAAACTAAAGGAGATTCTTAGACAATAATATCATAACACAATTCGTGTGAAACAAAACCATACAATTAATAAATTAAACGGCAAAGAATTCACCAAAAAAAAAAAATTTAACGGCAAAGAAATGAATACAAAATAAATAATACGTAACATTTAAAGTGATAATTAGTGGCTTCTTTAAGCACTAAATAAAGGAAGGTTGGCCATTAAATAAAACACGTAGAAGAAAGAAAGTAAACCATCTTGAAGATAGTTTAACCGGGTGTCTCACATAATTTATTTTGGATCACAAAAACTAATTTTTAGCATGGCGATACAATAAATTAAATTTCCCAGTTCAATAATTGCTCACACATATCTTTAACGTCTTAAAGTATTTTGTAATTTCCATTACTACAAGGTACTATATAATTAGAAATTTCATAATTTCATTCTTCTAAAATGTACGTAGTGCTAATTTGAAATATACTTGTATCACTTTGTCACTTTTATTAGATAATGAATTCAATATTAAATAGTCAATTAATATTATGATATTATAATGCTTGCACAGTTGCACGTTCTTTTATTTAGCTTCCTAATATGGCTCAATTTGGTTCCAACCATTTAGACCAATAATGCTCTAAATAGTCTAACAACTCGGGAGATTTAATTTTTATATATTTCTGTAGCTTTGTTGTTATTGGAATAATACAATTTAAGTAAAATACTATATGTCCTTTTATTTTGTATTGTTCTGAGTTCCTAAATAGCTTAGCAATATGTTAACTATTGAACCACAAATTTAATATACTAATAGGAAGCGGCAATATAATAATCGTGGCAAAAAAAAAAAAAAAAAGGTTTTGGCAGCAACAAGATTCCATCAAAAGCTCTCATGAACAACATGGATGATCTTTTAGCTTTGAGCTGTGTCATTGAAACTATAATTTAAAAATCATAAATATATAAAACTTAAATTTTTGTTTAAAAAAATCTAAAACATAAAATTTTAAAAAAAAGTGTTATTTTTATTGTATTTATTAGAAATATATGTTTCTTTAGTAATAACTACTTTTGATAGACTTGTATATTAATATAATAAATCTTTAAAATTGTTGTTACATAAATATTAATATTTCTATTAGGCGCAATATATGTCTTCAGTCTCCACAAACCAGACCATCAGAGGAATTCTCGCCCGTCCAACGGTGGCATGACGTGGCAAATGTGTCGCTACGTGTCTACTGTCATGGATCATTGGTATTAATATTCTTTTTTATCAAAAAAATTTACTAAAATGTTCGAAACAAAATTTTCAAACAGTTTTTTTTCCTTCACTTTATTGAATTGGATTAGTAATCCTTTTGAATATGTGTGTGTACTAGACATATTAACATACGAATAAAATCATGATGATAACATACCCTAACACTTTTCTTTCTTATTTGGGCAGAACAAACCAATTGATGAACTGGAAAATAAAAAGAAGAATCCATGGAAAATACCATATTTGTGTATATGTGTGTGCAAGGAAAATAATTAAAAAAAACACAATAATATAAAAATAATAGAACTCAATCAAATTAGAATATATCCTTACCTTTTTTCAGATTTCAGTGTTGAACCAAGAGAAAATAAAAGAGATTCTCAAA